ACACAATTCAATTAGTAACTAACTTGAGACATTCAATCCCCAAGAAGGCTCATGTGAGTGGTTGTGTGCAAGGATGGGTTTGGCATTGAATACTTTGGATCTAAGCAAGATAGACATATATTAATGGTAGGCTGGAATACAAGAGAATAAGGGATAGGGCTTGAGTGTTAACTCTACCTGATGCTTCTAAATGCAAATGTGAACCTATGGTGCTTCAAAAGTTCAATATCAACATTGGATGAAATGTCATTGAACAGCATCATGGGACTAACATGGCCCTTTGTAAAAAGGAACACCATACAAAAGTATGCTTTTGAAAACAGACTATGTCAATAGATCCCCCTAACCTCTAGTTCATAGCTTGTAAGTTTTGGCATCCATGAATGCTATAGAAATGCTTGAACCTCAAGAAAACTTTGATCTGGATATACAGAAACCTTGTGCTGGAAAAGTCTGAGTAATGGTAGCCCATCCCATGGATTTGATAGCCGTGGACCGTTGGAAGGCCAGGACAGTCGTCATGGAATCAAATTGCTAGCTTGCCAACTTCCATCTTCCATCACATGCATGCGATGATCACGGTTGCCAATTTGTAGACTGTCAAAGGATCTTGTTTCTACATTCATTTGGATCTTATATGACTGATAGTTCAATCCATACTCCATGTCCTTCACAAGTTTTTGAAGCAGAGGGTCGTCATCGATGTTACAGGCCGCATCGTCAGGACTGATTATATTGTGCTTGTAACGATGCAGCAGCACCCACCATTTCTCCCATACTGGCCCTTGCGTGGGCAGCAGGGACTTGAGCACACTGCAGTCTTCAGCATGCTTTGCAACAAAAGCGACGGCCGCGGTCCGGCTCCCGAATACCACCCTCTCGCTCAAGGCCAACTGAAACTGCTCTCGTGCCTTGCGAGCCAGGCCTAGGTTGCCATTCTTGGAGCCTTTGAACATGTCCGCGAGCAGACCAAGAGCATTGGCAGCTGTGAAAATTATTTGGCCGAAGAGGGACACGTTTGGAAGCCACAAGACACTGGCGATTGAGTAAGCGTAGAGCATGAGCCCTGCGAACAACAGCCCCACTCTGCCCATTTTAGTTTCCTCCTGCTCCAGCCTGCGCTGGAAGAGGGCCTGTATGAAGCTTTCCGTACCCATGACAATGTGCAAAGTTTCAGTATCCGTGTCATCCACGACGAGGCAATCTCCCTTAGGAGCACCGTCAGCAACTTTGGGCTCTGCATATTTGAACACGAAGGAGATCCTCAATACCATCACCGAAAGTGCCATCCCCAGAGTTCCTAGCCCGATAAGAGCGCCAGCGACCCATTCCCCACTGGCACAAGCAACACAAACGACTCCCAAGCTGAGTAGCAATGGCATCCAACCCAGGAGAAGGCAGTCTAATGCCGTCCCCTTGAGCAAGACCTGAGCATGAGTCCCCATGTTGCCCGTTGATAGGACCAGCACCTGCATGCGTCGACCAGCATCTCTTCCCACCGGCTTATCGTTAGCCACGCCGTCATGCTCATTCCACAGCTGCTTGTGCTCACGCACGATGCTGGCACCCACCGTATTGAGGACGGGGCATTGGGTTCTAGAGCTCAAGCCAATGTAGCGCAACCCGTTGGGGCATTTCATGCTAAGAGCGTTAGACTCGGCAGCCGGGGACAACAACTGTCCTACACGAAAGCCAGTCATTTGGAGCAAGGTTGTGGCAAGGGACAAGCTTCCTGGACCAACGTGACCTGTGACACTGAATGCATCGTTCGTGGATGAGAATACCAGGCTCCTTGTTGCAGATGTGGTTCCTAGCGTGGAGACGAGGCCCATGAGGTCAAGCTTCTTCGTCTTGATGCTAGACCGGACACGGTCAGCTAGATCGTTTGCACATACCTTAAGAAACTGCTGCAACAAAAACACCATTGTGATATGAACATATAGTGTCCATTTCACCATTGCCTGCGAACAACTAAATGACAAGAATGAATGCTTGTGAATCAAGTAGACTAGATTCTCTTTAACATCCGGACCAACCGACCATAGGACGAAGTAGATTCTGTTACATCTGGTAGATATTTTATTGTACAATCACTTTAGTATTTTATGTACTTAAATCTTTTAGTTAAAAGTTGAATGCTCTAAAATATTAGGTAAATTAAATATTTTGACTAATATAATTTATTGCAGTTGTTTTTATTTAGAAATCACTCTTGCCATTAAAAGAAGGAAAAATAGGAAAAAAGAAAAGAAAAACCAATGTGAAGTCTCTACATATAGTGTGTGTGTATATATATATATGTATATGTATATGTATATGTATATATATGTATGTATATATGTATATATATATATATATATATATATAAATATATATAAAAATTAAACTAACTTGGCTAATTTGGGTTATTACATTAGTGCAATTTAGACTTTTCATTGTCTATATAAGTAAATGCCTCTTACAGTCATAAAAGAGGAACAGTTTTAGGATTCTCTCACCTTGATGTTATTTAGTTTAATCCATTTAATAAACCAAAACAATCTTGTCCTCAATCAATAATGCAATACATAAAAGCAATAAAAATAATGTCTTGTAGTGTTTGGTTGATTCATCAATTTCCAAATACCCAAAATATTACTTTCATTCATTGCATTATTGATTGGTATTACTTTCATATATTGCAAATGGGTCAATTGAATAACCTATATAAAAGAAATAATAAGAATTAAATTTATAAAAATTAGCTTTTATTAATAAAATCATCTATTTTACTATTTAATATATACTATTTTAAGAAACTCCAAATGAAGTATGATAAAATGGCATTTTATCATTCTTCAGTAAAAATGTTTTAAAATATATTAGTTGATTATACTCACATTATGAGATTTATATTAGAATTTTACACTTTCTTTATGGAAAAATCACTTTTGAAGTCAATAAAATGAGAGATCTTTATTAAAAATGTAGATTTACATTTATGTTTATAGTTTTAGTCATAATAATATAGAGGCCTAAGGCTTTATAATTAATGAGCTAGAATGTTTTAGTAATTTTTAAAGATTTAATATACTGTAATTAAATGTTTATTCTTAAATTAAATAAATATTTAGGAATATTTTTAATTTTCATTTGTTGGGAAAAATATGTTTATAGTTTAAAATTACAAGTATATTGTTCTTATTCATAAGATAAACCACATATTTTAATTCAAATAAATAACAAAATAATCAGATTAGCTCTATTTTTATTTTAAAGAAAATCAATGAGACTTTTACTAGAAATATTTTCCTCTTTTAAATTTATTTTTTGTGAATGCATGAATTAACAAATAGAGCAATATAGATGTTCTAAATAATTATTTAAAATTATTAATGATAATTTTAATTTTAATTATTAAAATAAGTTCATTCATATATATTTTATTTCATCTCAATTTAGTTTGAATGTTTTTTTTTATTTCTAGAGTAATATCTTCTTGACTATTCTAGGCATTGGAAATTGAGACTTTTATTTTTTAAAACTTTATAGGAGAAAAGTTTTAGTTTTAAAACTTTGAGAGAACATGGGGTATAAATATAATATTCAATTATTTGTACTTATTATGACCATCACTCAACTAATAGAGATTCATTCTTTTTTATTCCAAGTGGTTGCAAGGGTAGTGCATTTGAATTAAAAATATAGAACGAATAACATTCATGATAATATTAAAAATAGCATATTTAATTAATGAACAGAGGTAAACTTAAGCATTTAAATTATTGACTGGTTGCTCTAAATATCAACCTCTATGCTTCCGAGCCAACCAACTGGACAAAGCTTTGGAGATGCTGGGAAGTATGCCTCATAAACCATCGCTGGTAATATGGAAAACCTTCTTAGCTGCATGACAGAAGTGGAACAATCTCGAAATCGGACAGCTGGCGTTTGAATCTCTAGTTCTAGCATCTGGAAGCCATGCAGTAATGGTGTGTCAAGCAGTGATGAGGTACAAAAGGTGGACGATGGATCAATAGGTGCGAAGCTTGAAGACCTGTCCTGAAAAAGGCAAGAGCGTGGCTATGATGAAGCATCGAAGAGAACAGGTGCGAGAAAGAATACGGCCATTATGGAAAGCTGGCTCTGGCTTTTGCCTTGGCGAAAACACAGGCTTCGGTTTGTGAAGAATCTGCAAATGTGCATACATTTACTGGAGCGGTGGAGGATCGTCTGCAAGGACAAAAGCATGCCATGTGTTTGAAGACCGAAGGTGCTCATGTGCGAATTGATCCCCCAACTTTATGCTCCAGTCCGTAACTTGTATGTGGTATCCACTCTGGCATCCATGAGTGCTACAGAGATGCTTGAACCTGAAGAAAACTTTGATCTGGATTTACGAGTAGTAGGAGACCATCGGATTTGATAGCCTGTGGACCGTTGGAAGGGTGGACCATGGGCAACAATGGTCGTCGGAGTCAAATTCAGAGCTTCCAACTTCCATCACGTGCATGCACGCCGATGATCACGGTTGCCGATTTGGGGACTGTCTTGTTTCTGCATTCATTTGGAAGGACATGACTGAGTCCCATGAAAATAACTAAACTTCAATTCATAAATTAGACGTCCAGCGGGATACTAATTCCCTCATATCTCCATGCATCCCTGTTCGCTCTAAAGATATGTGCCAAGTCATCAGCTAGGCTGGGATCTTTAGAACTCTTCAGTGTGCTCCAGCCATTCTGGATTTATCTCATTAAGCTTCACGCCAGCCCCATTCATTATTAAACGGGCCGATAGTAACTGTTTCGTTCATGTATTGCATGGTGAATCAGTGGTTGATAGTAATTGTTACAATAAAATTCTACCAGATGTGGGTAGATCGGGACGTTAAAGAGAATCTAGTCTACTTGGTTCACAAGCAATTTAATTGTGGCATCTTGAAGGACCATTGCTTCAGCTTTACAGGTGCCTGTAACTAGTGCTAGGTTTTAGTATTTAAGGGCTTGGATCAGAAGTTTCAGAACAATGGGGCAGAATGTCCAACTTCACCAAGCTCTAAGGTAACCGAAGTTTCCGAAATTAGCATTGTGTTCCTCTGCATTTTAGAAAATCCCAAACCCTCAAGCGTCAAACGAGAGATATCTAACTTGGGTTACTGTGCGTTTTGGGGCAGAACCAGTTCTCAAGCATTTCGTGGGGACTGCTGCAGCGGTGCAAGAAGGTTCCGTGCATTTGCTTTATGATGTAGCTCGTTTTGATCCATTACCCGCAGCAGGTACATGCGGCATATCTCCTTAAGCTAGTAAGGTAAGGTTTATATTTTGATCAAATGACAATACGACAGTGGATTCCTTCACAGGCACTGCCATGGCTAATTGAGTAGTGCTAGATTTCAAGCTCAGTATATTTAAGCAGATTCAATGTCAACTTTGATCCCAAAGGCAGACTTCACCAAGTTCGAAGGTAACTCAAGTTTCTTAAGGTTTTTGTTTGTTGCTGACTTAGTGTTCCATCCAAGGTTCTGCATTTCAGAAAATCAAGAACCTCAAGCTTCAAGCGTTTCCACTGCGGGTGATAAATGTCAAGGGCACAACCGAGTGCAGCCGTGCTACTGGAGGCGTTATTTTTAGCGCTGTGAACAGTTGGGAATTTCACATAGTTTCTCACAGGTGGACCTGCGACATCGAGGACTTGTCTAAGGACGTGGCCCAGGTAATGGAAAGAAGGCAGAGCAGGATCAGCTACGAAGAAGCGCTAAAGTATGCTGGCCTGCAACGTAACAAGGGATACAAAGGCTTGATCCAGTTTCTCGAAGTGCTCCAGGAGGATGGAGTGGACCTGGTTTGGCTTGACACACTGTGCATCAACCAGCTCGATAAGAAGGAAAAGGAGAGAGAGATATTGCGAATGGGAGAATTCTACTCGCTTACACTGGGTTGCTACGTTAGTCTTCATGGCCTTGGATCTGGTTTCAAGGCAGTGGCTGACGACGGCCAGCCTCCGGTATGGTTCTCTAGAGCTTGGACTCTGCAGGAGTTTATACTACCCCAAAATCTCACCTTCATAGTCGAGATGGATCAGTCGCAGTTGAAGAGTGTCGTGAACTTTGTCAAGAAGATACATGTTGAGAAGACGTGTGCGTGTAAAGGCAGCAATGGCTGGTCTTGGGGTAGTACCTCAGGACCATATGAACAAGAACAACGTTCTGCTCAGGAAGACGAAGCCAACTTTTGGAAGGCATTGCAGCAGTCGGACTACAAGTGCACCCGTGGTCGCTTAGCTCGAACATCTTGCGAGAATCTCTACTTCATGGACAGAAATGCCTACATTCCCTTGGCGTTCATAATCAGCGGGGAAAGCAGTGATATCTTTGACTTTGGTACCCGCCTTGGGCTCACCTGCCATGGTGGCACTGTTGGCCTTGTCAAGGAGATTGCTGATCGAGATTGCAAATTAGAAGAGGATCGGGCGCTTTGCATGCTCGGTTTGCTCGGGGTAACAGGTGAAGATGGTGTCCAACGAATCGAAGTTGGCAGGACACTCAATCAGCAATTGGTGGAGCTGACACGGGGGATGGTTAGCTGCAACCTTGACGATCTAATCAAGATGCTAGTAGCTGTAGCTGGGCCCAAACTCATAAATTCGACAGAGGAGCGAAGCCCAGAGCCAACTTGGACACCCATCTTCCGGAACAGCCTTAAGGTGCTTCGCTATATTGTTCAAGTGATGCTAGAAGCTGTGACTAAACTCATAAATTCGACAGAGGAGCGAAGCCCAGAGCCAACTTGGATGCCCATCTTCCGAAAGAGCCTTCCTCGTAACGAGGTACTTCGTCATATTGTTCAAGGTGACACCATCGAGGGTCTGAGCAACATGGTGGACTTCAAAAGCATGGTGGAATCTGTGAGCGTGGGCGTCGATGGCTCTCTCACATTGACATGCGGTTTCATATCTGCAAGGCTTCTGCCACTTGAGGAGCACCGTGGGAGTTGTACACACGTGACGAACAGGATAAATGGGAAAGGCTGTTGCTCGTGCTGCAACTCGAACCCGAAGCACGATAACTGCTTCAGAGCTGCTTCTGATGAGGTTTGGGTGCTCGACATGAAGGACCAGGGCCATGCATTGCCCTTCCACTCATCTCAAGAGCTGGGTGACGAGTTTCAGGGACGAGCCTTCTGGCCACATTTGCTGGCATGTGGTAAGAACAACTATGTCTACCCATCGCACTACCTGCGAGGTTGGCTCCTTGTGCCGAACCAGGACTTTGCAAACGGATGCACTTCCAATGTCTCGCTGCTGCTGTTGGGAACCTCTCTTGAGACACGTTACTTGAACAACAGCCCCGTTGTGGAGAAAGTTTTGCTCTTCATGATATGTTTGGGAGACAGCCACAACAAGTTGCGGAAAATTGGCCATCTCAGAGCTCTTCCACAATACAGGGAGATGAAAGCTAGTGGAAAGATTGATTACGATCACCTTCCTAAGGTTCAGTCCACAGTTAGGTGAATTTAATTAAGTAATTGAGTATTAAATTTATTGTGTTATGCTTATTATTACTTGCTAATATTATAGATTTGGTAGTGAGGAAACATTGCATCCATGGTGATACTCCTTTCGATTCGGTTTGTGAAGAGTATGAAAACGTGCAGTAAGTGCCACACTAGCAGCGAAGGATTATTCACAAGGACACCTGATGGGATATATTTTAGTGGATGGAAAGTGATTTTAAAGGGCTCTTGTAATTTGCAGGTGCTGTCCAGAAAATGGATATCATCATACAGGAAATTTTGATCAAGCTGAGAAATTTGAGAAATCTTGCAAGAATACATGGATTTGTTGAAGTCTCCTGGAAATTCTGTTAAAAAAGATGAGGCTGCGGAGGATAAGAACAGTCAGGAAGGAATCCAATGTGATCATCATACAAGGGGAACATGAAATTGATTGTCCTCCTCCCTATGATGCATTTCCAAATCATCACCAGCAACAGCCACCATGGCCTACAGTGATATATATCATACAAAGCTCATATAGTGGCTTAATGAAATAGATATCTTCCACACCTGGTGGGCCTAAAGGCAACCTAAAGGCAACGATGTCAATGTGAGTCACACATGAACATAGCCATGGGGACAGAGAAAGCGAAATCAAGTTTGTGTCAAAGAGAGGTCTTTGCCATCCCCCCTTTGCCCCAATTTCATCCACTTCCTAATGGAAATCCAAGTGGTGTACTTGAGCTTTCTTAGCTCCAGCACAGATAGAATGCAACGAGCAGCTTGAATCCGTGCAAGAATTTGCAAATTCTAGCTCATTCTGGCTACAGGGAGGCATTGGAAAAACAAGGGGGGCTGGATTCTGCAAACTAACCGTGTCAAGTGCGCGGGGCTGGGGTTGTGAGAAATCAAGCACCATGCTGCGGAAGTGGGCCTCATCTCTTGTCCTTCAAGTCACCACGCTGCTCCTCTCACAATTTCCGGCAGTCGAGGCCGGATCAGCGGATAATCTCAAGTCTATCGATCAAAAGAAGCTGGATCTGGTGGGTCTAATCTCTGCACTGGGCACCGAATCTGCAAGGAAGAGCTTCGCATTCTCATCTATGAACGATGCCTTCAGCATCACAGGCCATGTAGGCCCAGGAAGCCTCTCACTCGCTACATCTTTCCTCCAGATGACTGGCCTGCGTTTTGCGCAGCTATTGGCCCTTGGCAACTCTCCTGCTCCTCACGTGGAATGCCCTCAAGGCTTCCAGTACTTGGGCCTCCATTCCAACACCAAATGCCCCGTGCTCAACACTGTGGGCGCCAGTCTTATCAGTGAGCACAAGCGGCTGTGGAAGCGTGCCACTCCACCGAAAATACAAGGTAGAAACGCTAGTCGAAGTGTCGAGGTCTTGGTCTTATCGCTGACAGGCACTACAAGTGGTGCTCGAGCTCAGCTCAAGGGGAAGTGTATAGACGGCCTCCTATTGGGCTGGCTGCCACTTGTTCTCACGGCAGGGATCGTCTGCATGGCTTGCGTTGCCATGGAGTGGTTCATAGGAGGCCTCATTGCACTGGGTGCTCTCGGGATGGCACTTGCCGTGTGGACAACACAGTCGATGCTCGTGTTCAAATATGACGACCCAAGTATTGCTGCGGGTGCGCCAGAGAGGGGAGACTGCCTCGTTTACAGTTTGAACAGTGACACATTCCACATTGTCGAAGGCACTGAGGCTTCGGTTCAGGGACTCTTCCAACGGAGCCTCAAGCAAGAAGATAAACTCCCTGGAAAGCTAGCGCTGCTCTTATCGGGTGTGATGCTCTATGCATACTCCATAGCTAGCATCTTGTGGCTCCCCAACGTTTCAGTGTATGGGCAGGTGTTTTTCACATGTGCCAATTTTGTGGGGCTAGTTGCCGACATGGTGAAGGGGTCCAAGAATGGGAACTTGGGTTTTGCCCGGAAGGCCAAAGAGCAGTTTGATGTCAAGTTGAAGACGAGGGTGGTATTTGGTAACAGGACGGCAGCTATGGCATTTATTGCCCGACACACGGAAAACTGTAGCTTCATCAAATCTGCGGGATTGCTGCCGGTGAATGGCCCGAGTTGGGAGAAATGGTGGGAACTGCTTCCTAAGGCTTGCCATGGGGGGCTGGAGCATGTTATGAAGTCACTGGAGTCCACAACTACCAGGGATGACAAGTTATTCGAGACTTTGGTACAGGACATGAAAGATGGCCTAAGTTTCCAAGCTGGCTAAAGGAAGAATGTTAAAATATATTAATATGTATATTTGGAAAAAAAAAAATTCAAACTTTGCAAATTATGTTAAATATTATATTTAATTTTCTATATATTAAGTAAATTATCCATGATTTTAATTTTTAATCTCAACGTAGAATAATTAAATATTCTATTCTATTTTCTATATATAAAGCAAAATCAAGCATTTTTGGAGGGGATTCCCCATGTAATTGATATTAATCACTTACAAATATACAATCCAAACGACCAAATTTTATCATATATGCACATTTTAATTGGTCACATCTATTATCTATTTGCTTTAGCATGTTTATGCCTTCATATATTACTAATAATTGTATATTTTAAAATTTATCTCTCATATTTTTCAATTATTCTGATGGTAATATATAATATTCTTCATTTAGGTGTGTTTTGGTTTGTGTTGGCAAATGCAAAATGAATTATTATTTCATTTATATTGGATGCTGCTTTTCTTGTTGGTGTTGTTATTAATGTTGTTTCAATTGAATAGTGTTATTATAGAATCTTCTTAATGACCAAACTTCCAAGAGCTCACTATGCTCCCATGGGCTTCCTCACTGGCTTGCTTGATTGGGTGAAGAGCTGGAAGGAATTTGTGGAGCTCTTAGTAATCTTGTTTTTCTCATTCCAGCTCTACCAATTTATCTTTTTGGTTTTCTTTTTTGCAAAACCCTTTTTGTTATAATGAGACTTTTAGATTATATTAAAACTGCTGAAATATTTTAAAATTAGTAATATATCATGAATATTTCATTAAGAATAATTATAACTTAAATTTATTAGTTAAATGTAATTATAATTTAATTATAACGATAATTATAATTAAATGTTAAAAAAACTTATATTAATATTAAACATAAGACAGCTAAAACTCACATAAAATTTGATGGATAAAAAGCTCTTGACTCAAACTACCCAAGTAAGTTATAGTTGAAATATGTTATGTTTTGTGTTTTATTTTTTACTCTACTATTATTTCTTACATGTAATAATAAATGTAATACATGTATACATATATACATGTGGGATGAAAGATACATATATATATACAAGTGGGATGAAGGATAAAAGGAAACTAATCAATATATTTATAGTATCAAGTGTACAAAGACATATTCATGCCCATGTTAAAATAATTTGTTGCCCTTAGAAAATACTTTCTTTTCTTTGGTTTTCATAATTTTTTATTCAAGAAATAGAATTTCTTAATAAAAAACTAATTCTTATGAATACTAGCAAGTAATGCAATATTTAATTATTATTATTATGTGAAACAGAGATTATTATAAGTAATAAATATTAGTAATATACCAAGAAAATTTAATAGCATCTGTTTTCTAAATAAAGGTTAATAGCAATAAACCTTTATTAAAAATAAATTAGAAATGGTTTATTGTTATATAATTACAACTGTTGATTTAAAACTAATTTTTAAGTTACTCATAATATCTTAAGATATTCACCTGTGATTTTAGCTTCATATTTGCCTATCATTGGATTGTTTAAATAAATAGTGAGACTCATAGCACAAGAACAGATTTTCTTTGGTCATGAATTCCTCTTTATCTAGCTACATTTTACATGTACATGTACATTTTACATGTACAACACACTCAAAACTCATTTTAATGCTCAAAGAATGGGAAGAAACATATGTAAGCTTTCCTCTGAGTTGAACTTAAATTCCAATTCTCACTGTGATCACATAAACAAAACCCAACCTTGTGCAGGAGAAAAAAATAGCAAGAAAAAAGATGTGTTTAGTTTTAAGAGTTTAAGTGAATCTGAAGCACCAAAGTCCTAAGCTTCACAATGATGAAATTTAGGGTTTAGGGTTTAGGGTTTGAAAATTTTGCAAGAATAGGAGATCTTTTGTGCTGAGAATAATCCAGGCCACTTGTTGCAGTTACTCTTTGCATTTGCCCTTTTACAAAAGACATAGAAAGGAATTTGAAAACTTATGACCATCATATAGAGAAAAAAACATGAAGAGAAAAATTAGTTTTAACATTTTTTATGAAGGCAAAGAGCCTCAAAGGTATGCATCATTTTTTTTACTCCATTTCAAAGTTCTTGATTAGTGATAAGTAAGAACATTATCATTAAAACTTGAAGGAGAAAATTGGATTGAGGAATATTTCTTAAAATATGCTAAAATATTCTAGGTGTACTCCAATGAAAGTCATAACAACTTGAAAAACTTAAAAGTTCATCTTAATAAATATCTTATTTAATATTCTCATTATTTTAAGATTTCTATATGTCGATATACATTTAAGTTGACATATTCAAAAAAATTCACTTTTACTTTATTTCTTTATTCTCTGATAAGAAGTATGATATGTTGTATAATTATATAGTTCTAACATAATTTTATATTGAGATTAATCACATTTTAAAATGTTCATAGAAATTATGACATTAAACCAGAATACCTTTAGAATCAGATGGAGAAAGGTGTATAAACACCCATGAGAAGAATATTCTGAATACTCCAGAGAGTTTGGGGTTTTGTCAAAGCCTATGGTGATTGGTAGCAAGCTGCTTTGCAAGGATTTCTTGCACTCCCCGAATCTTTTCACATTTGACACCACAAGCAAGAGCTTCTCGTGTGCTGCAAATGTCTTGCCTAGGGTCAAGAGTGGCGAGGAAATCAATCTTGGAAGCCCAAGCTCTATGTGGTGATGGTGAATTACAACAATGGCCAGCCTAAGGTCATCTTGGAGTTTGATTGATGTGTGTGATTGATTTTGATGCAAATGACAGCATTGTACAGAGCCTAGTTGTTTAATTTATAATCATGAAATTATAAAC